ATTTTAAATTGAAATTTTAATTATTTTAAATTTGAAATATTTATATTTTTTTATTTATAAAGTTAATAAAATAAACTGTACATAATTTTTATTAAAGTTTCTTTTTCAGTATAATTTTTTATTAATGTTTTTTTTATATAATCGGACAGAATTTTTAGTATACTATATTTCTATTGGCAGAATTTTTTATTAAATTTTTATTGGCGCAGAAAAAAGGAAATGATAATCCGGTTTTTAAGAAATCATAATTTCATCCTGTTAAAGTAGAAATCAGATAATGAAGTTTCGGTTTTCAATAAAATCAGAATAATTTAGTTTCTTATTTGCTCTCTTTTTTAAGTTATTTTGTAATATAAGGAGTCTTTTTTATTTGCTGTTGTTTTCTCTTTTTTTATTGTATTCGCTAAGTTGTTCGCTATTTCTCAAATTTTCGCTCCACGAACCCTTTTTTTGGAATACCTGACAAGAGGCAATACATGATTGCTAATATGGCTCATTGGATATTATAATTTAATGGCATATAACGTAGCGAACTAGTTCAACTGCGGACCTTGGGATGAGAAACCAAGAAGTTTTATATTATATATATATATATATATATATACTATATATATATATTATAGATCTCTTGTTGTTTTTTTTTTTGGGACAGGGGTGAGTATGGGCCTATACGGCCACTATCTTCCCGGGCGACCTAGCGGTCCACCCCATAAGCAACCGGTGCCGACGCTTAAAGCTTTTCGTGGCCACCCAAGGGGATCGAACTGGCGACCAGCGGCAATGCCCAGGCCAAACACTTACCCACATGAGCTACAGCCTGGTGGATATGATCTAGAATAATTAGAGTTCGTTCTTACCTTTTTTTTTTGGTAAAGCCAACCAAAGGGGCTTACGTGTTGATTTGAAAATGAGATTAATTACGAGTCCTTAGCGAATCAATAGCCATCTAAAAATACATCATTTAAAGTAAAATCTACGAGCTTTTGATTCGATCTATTACA